CATGTACAGTTTCTGTGTAGAGTTCGAAGGTTGAACTTCGCCATCAATTTTTTGTGTAGCTTCGGCGAATTCAGCGTCTATTTCGTCTGACTGTAGAGCAACAGAAATTTGTATAGTTTCCGTTAGAGCAACAGAAATTTGTATAAATCTTTTGCGGTTTCTTCGTCTCACGATAAAATGTCTTCGCCTTCGTCCCCTGATGCCTCGATCATAAACTGCTCACTACGCTCGCTTTTTTCGATATTTTCATCTCCAATTAACGTTCAAAATAGGTTCGTATGTTTGTTCGCTTTCTGTTTCAATTCCATCTTGATCTCAGTAGCCCTCTAACGCTTTGAAATATAATTTTTTGTTGGCATATTATGTTCTCACTCGTATGTTTTCCTAATCACTCATCTCAAAGCATCCCCCTTATTTGTCACGTGACCAAAAATATTCCCGACATAATTTGCCACTTTCTTTGAAGTTTGCCGCCTAGCCTAACAATCTTACGTCTATTAGCTGAGGTCTAACTAATTTTGGAATCCTCAATTAGTGACATCAAACAGTCATGTCATAGAAAATACATGCATACAGAAACCCCTCGTCTTGCTGACAAAACCATTGTATTTTCCGAACATGAAGTATTTAAATTAGTTTTCATGGTAACACGAAAATTTTGCTAAGAATATTTTTACAAATTAAAAATCTCCTAAAAATTTTGCTAAAGAATATTTTTACCCGAAAATTTTGCTTAGAATATTTTTACAAATGAAAAATCTCCTAAAAATATCTCTTTTAATTACAAAATTATCAATTTCCCAAACATATATATGTTATGTTATTATACGTAATATAGGCTTGAATTTAAAGTAAAATTCAACCTCGCAAGACGACGTTTTAAAAGGTCTTTTTATAAAACTAAACTACCTTTATTCTTTAATTGCGGGAACCACTGACAGAATTTTCATGAAATGCACAACAACGTTAACTCCGAATTAAGACAACATTTTTTATTCAACGTTTCGACTATATTTAGTCACCATCAGGAAATACCAATGGTGAGCTACGTTTATCGAGAAACTTTAAGTTTGAAATAAAATGATTTCAAATTCTCGTATTCAAACAACTTGGCTTTCTTTTGGATTCAAACATTTTAATAAAATAAAAAAGCTTAATCAATAAAGAAACACTGAAATTATATGCTGTCTTTTTCATTTAAAATATACGCAACGATCAGCTTTTAAGAGCGTGTGTCTCTAAAAACCGCCCACTGACTTGGGGCTCGAAAAATAAATTCCTTCGAAACTTTTACCGTGAACTACATTTACTTTAACAACAAAGAAATGCTGTTCGGAATTTTGAAAATATATTTAGTTTCAAAGTTTTAGCGATTTTTTGGTCTCGCACCGTCGCAGGACAAATTCGCCGGCTAATTAAACGAAAAAATGGGCTGAATTTAAATAAACATAATTTCAAAAGTTTTTGTTCAAAATTTCTGATATTCACACCCAGCACCGGAAAACTATCGTAATTTCATCTAAACTAACTTAGGTTTCCAATTACAGAGCATTTGTGACAATATTTAGCGACAAAGAGCGCTATGTCAAAATACGGCTTTCAAATCCTACTATTTTCTACACTGAATTTCTTAAAAGTGGGACCTAATTACATACAGTGACTAGTATAGTTGGAAAAAGGACACTTTGAAGTACTAAAAACCGTAATAAAACTCGTCTGCAAACGCGATTTGAACAATTGAGAGCGTTTGAAATTTGATACTATTTATGGCCTTTTGTTTACATTAGAATGTTGCTGAGGTCAGACGTCTGAGTTCATGTCACTGCTAAAAATGCGCTGTAGTTCTGCCAAATAAGATTTCCCTCAAATAAGTTTATAGCAATATAGTACTAATCTATATTTCTTTGTTTATGTCCTCCGTAAGTGGTTCCAAGGGATTTAAAATAATAGGCATGTTAAAATAAACAACTTGACCAAATTAATATGCTACTCGGGGAAAAGCCCGCATGCAGCGCGAATTCTATATGTGGCACATGCTACATTTAGTGTGATTTAGAGTTTGCGTTGGAGCACTAAACTATTGCTTAGTTCGAAAAGTATAAATGTGCGAAGTTTAGTTCTGGAACCTTTCTGCGAAGTTGATATTTGAATTATATTGCGGCAAAATTTGAGAGTTAGTATGGATAATCTGTGTTCTTTTAATGCTATCGGTTCAACTGTATACGGATGGTGTAGGGGTGAATCGGGCCTTAGACGTACGCTTAGAAGATTGTGATGAGAACATTCAAAACCATCTTTCAAGTTGCAGTTTGTCGAGATCTGATTTTAGCGAGGGCGAGCTGATTTTGAAAAGAGCGGAATTTTTACATGAAATATCAAGCGAAGAAATACGCTCTATGACAGTATGCCCAAACCACCGGTACAACAACATCCTTCTCACACTGCGCCTGCATGTCGCTGCAAAGGAAAAGATAGTGGCATTAACCTGGATGTATCCTGGGATGTATTCCAAATTTATGGAGTACTTGTGCAAGTTGGTTCTCGTAAGTGATAAATATAGTCCAAATTAGAGATAATTGCATTGTTAATTTGTTATAGGCAATATAATTAGAGTTGCACCGCGAATAGGCCAGTGCGGCATTCGCATGGTAACATTGGAAATTAGAGGTATACTGTAGTATCACAGCGACATGCTGATAATTAGCTTTACTAGCCCGAGTAAAAAGCTAATTATCAGCATGTCGCTGTGATACAGTATACCTCTAATTTCCAATGTTACCATGCGAATGCCGCACTGGCCTATTCGCGGTGCAACTCTAATTATATTGCCCATAACAAATTAACAATGCGATTATATATCTCTAATTTGGACTATGTTTATCACTTATGAGAACCAACTTGCACAAGTACTCCATAAATTTGGAATACATCCCGCGATACTTCCAGGTTAATGACATATTTTTCTAGTGGCGTAGCCAGAACGATAATTGGGGGGGGGGGGCATATTCATATATTCGTGTTCTGCTTTATTAATTTCTTTTGAAATCAATTGTTTTTTTATGGTATGTGAACACGAATATATGAATATGCCCCCACCCCAACAATTATCGTTCTGGCTACGCCACTGTCTTTTCCTTTGCAGCGACGTGCAGGCGCAGTGTGAGAAGGATGTTGGCATGTTAGACGAGGTCTCCAGTATCGGCCCAAGTTGTACCGGTGGTTTGGGCATACTGACATAGAGCGTATTTCTTCGCTTGATATTTCATGTAAAAATTCCGCTCTTCTCAAAATCAGCTCGCGCTCGCTAAAATAAGATCTCGACAAACTGCAACTTGAAAGATGGTTTTGAATGTTCTCATCACAATCTTCCAAGCGTCTAATACCCGATTCACCGTGACACCCTCCGCATACAGTTGTCAGTTGAACCGATAGCATTAAGAGAACACAGATTATCCATACTAACTCTCAAATTTTGCAGCAATATAATTCAAAGATCAACTTCGCAGAAAAGTTCCAGAACTAAACTTCGCACATTTATAGACTTTTCGAACTAAGCAATAGTTTAGTATGCTGCAACGCAAACTCTAAATCACACTAAAAAAGTAAATATAGCATGTGCCACATACAGACTCGCGCTGCACGCGGGCTTTTCCCCATAGTAGCATATTAATTTAGTCAAGTTGTTTATTTTAACATGCCTATTATTTTAAATCCCTTGGAAGTTGGAACCACTTACGGTGGACATAAACAAATAAATATAGATTAGTACTATATTGCTATAAACTTATTTGAGGGAAATCTTATACTTGGCAGAACTACAGCGCATTTTTAGCAGTGACATGAACTCAGACGTCCGACCTCAGCAACATTCTAATGTAAACAAAAGGCCATAAAAGTATCAAATTTCAAACGCTCTCCATTGTTCAAATCGCGTTTGCAGACGAGTTTTATTACGGTTTTTAGTACTTCAAAGTGTCCTTTTTCCAACTATACTAGTCACTGTATGTAATTAGGTCCCACTTTTAAGAAATTCAGCGTAGAAAATAGTAGGATTTGAAAGCCGTATTTTGACATGGCGCTCTTTGTCGCTAAATATTGTCACAAATGCTCTGTAATTGAAAACCTAGGTTAGTTTAGATGAAATTACGATAGTTTTCCGGTGCTGGGTGTGAATATTAGAAATGTTAATTGAACAAATACTTTTGAAATTATGTTTATTTAAATTCAGCCCATTTTTTCGTTTAATTAGCCGGCGAATTTGTCCTGCGACGGTGCGAGACCAAAAAATCGCTAAAACTTTGAAACTAAATATATTTTCAAAATTCCAAACAGGATTTCTTTGTTGTTAAAGTAAATGTAGTTCACGGTAAAAGTTTCGAAGGAATTTATTTTTCGAGCCCCAAGTCAGTGGGCGGTTTTTAGAGACACACGCTCTTAAAGCTGTTATAAAGCGAACAATACATCAATATTTAAAACAAACCTACCTTCGTTAACGTCGGCGCCTTTACTCCTTCTTTTAGCAATTCTTTCGCCATTATTTTCTTAAAAAGCTTTTGAAATTCACAAAATCTTGCAAGAATGAAATATATTTGCAAGAAATCATCAAATCAAGAAATGTTTGCTATTTTGCGTCGTCAAGCAGTCGTCATAATGCAAATTTTAAATTTGACCAATCAGTGTCCGCTATTTATGACAGTCAGATCAGTGAGAATGACCACCCACCAAAACACCATTGGTCGCCCACGCCCGCGATCATTGATGAACTTCAGATTTCGCTAATGCGTAGTAATGCGTTCGTTTCCCGAGTGTAAATAGCTGGGCGGAATTAGTACTCTCGCCCTGGGCTTACGCCCGGAACGGCGCTCCGCGCCGTTGGCTCAGGGATAAATCTTTAACCATTTTGTTTGTTAAATTTACTCTCGTTTTTAATGTACGTTTTTACATGCGTTTTTATATGCTCTTGTGCACTTAATCTTATATGCCTCTTTTTCAATTTTTAGTTGGGCATTTGGAGTTGTGTTGTGGGAAATATGCACATTAGGTAAGAAAATTTCCTATCGGCTTGTCGATGGCCATACGGTGTCAAGCAAATGGAAGCCGACAGCTAGGAAATGATTTTTTTCTAAGAACGAATTTGTCTATAAGAACTGAAATGAAAACATTTTACGGCATACATTTATGTACTGTATCATTGTTTTCTTTCCTCCTGTACTTCCATTTGTTTAAATTCTGGAACTTCTTCTGTTATATGTACTTACCCAGATTTGTATATTTTAGGAGACACTCCTTATTCATCAGTGTCAGACAGGGATCTCAAGGATTTCCTACTTGCCGGAAAGCGATTGGAGAAAGTGGACAGCTGCACGGGCGATATGTAAGATTCTCGTTAAATGATTCGTGCAGGCTAGCCTACCTGACCTAGCTTCACTTTGGGATTATCAGGACAGGAATATGTATGGATAACATGCGTGCAAGCAATGTGTTAAACACTTTGACAAAGGACCTTTGATTCACAAGTGGCAATTTTCATATTCTCAAATTAGAAAATAAGCATCCTGAGAGTTTTTATGTGCACAATAAAAGCAATATACCGAGAGGCGAGAAGTAAATATCAATTACCATACGTAATGCGGAACGGGAAAGCTTATTTGCTGAGTAACTTCTCGCATCTTGAAATGCTAGCGCTTTATCCAATACTTTAAAACATTAATCTTGTCCTCAATCTTTATCTTGGAAGCTTTGGGTTTGATGCAGCATTTACCTGGCGATTGTAACTGAAGTGATTTAATTCAGTAATTTATTTTATTCAGTTTTTGGACAATCTAAAACTTGCAAAAGGAACCGTCAAAGTAATAATTAGATTTCTATAATTATTTTAGATATGAGATAATGCTAAAGTGTTGGAGTCATCTTCCAAAAGACAGACCAACATTTACTGAACTATCAGATAAATTGTGGGACCTTGAGCATAAAGAAAAACCCTATGTCAATTTAGACAGTTTAATGCAGCAGTCTGTCGAAAGTGAAGGTATGCAAACCTGTTATATTTAATTTGTATGATAGCCTTTTTTGCGGAAATTCTAATACTGATGTAGTATGCATATTTACAGCAAGCTTGAGTGGATTGCCTGTTCGACAAATGCATGATATTGGTTATTTTCTAGTATAAACACTTTAAGTACGTATATATTATGATCACATTATGGGATCCCGACTATGTCCTAAGTATCTAATATATCAATAAATATCAATACAAACTTGATACATACATATAATCTCCAATCTCCATACAGTTATATAAAAAAGTCACTATAAAAACACGCGGGGAGAGTAATGTGCATGCAGTTATATGAAAGCGGTCAGTGTAGAAAACATGTGATGCGAAAAATCACTTGGGGGGAAATGCGAGGCGCTATATGGTATGTTCCATGCATACGTTGCTTGGTCGACTGTTTGCCGGTCAACAGAATCAATCGGAAGGCAACCGACCACCGTTTAGAATTATTCATAACAATAACAGTCTTTTTCATTTTAAAACAAGTCGTTTGAGTAATTACAGTCACTTTTTTTTTTTTTTTTTTTTAATTTAATTCGCCCAATTTAATTACAAAAAAATTTTGATTATTATATTTACATGTTTATTATCTAGGGCT